CCCCCCCCCCCCCCCCTCTAATCGAAGTCATGTCACGCCGAATTGGCCCTTTCAATCACGCGGCCCCGCGAATCGTATAAGTCCTCGCGGGTCGCAAATCCTTACGCTTTAGAGCGTGCAATATAAATTGAATATGGACTCCAGCGTCGCCTCCATCCCTTGGGTTATTCGGGCTGGCTCGGAAAATTCTGGCAAGCTTCGCCACCGGCTCCGTGTCTTTCCTCTGATTGGTATCTTCCCCCAGTCACCTGGCGTATCTTCAACTTTCTTCTCTCGTAGTTCTTCTCAGTAATATTTGTGCGATACAGCAAAGCTCAAAACAGCAGCCCAAAAGTATACAAAATTATACGATTTGCGTGTCCGGGTTCCCGAGTAAGGCGGCTCCCAGCCTATCGTTGCATCTTTGTCCTTCTCTTCGTAGTGGAGTCTTCCTTCTTCCAATGGTGGGTGAGACGACAAGATTACAGAACAATATTTTAGCCACCGAGCACGGTCCGTCGATGACAACAGATCTAAATGTGAGGCTAACACATTATAAATAAAAAAAATAAGTTCGCAACAAAAGAAACAAAAAGCAATTAACTAAACGAATGATTAGCACAAGCTCGCATGTGCGCTGGCCCTCTGAAACCCATTGCACATATAAAAACGCAAGGTCGTAGTAAGCGAATTGGCCAATCACGGTAGAGACCGTAAGGCTAGTAGCGAATCCAAAGTTATGATTTCCTTACTGCTTACGTCTTACGGCCTTATGTTCTTGTACGTGTCATGGGCTTGAGCCAGGAGGATGCAAGATCCTCGAATCGTAGACGATTCGCGACAGTGATGGACGAAAATTGTCATGTCACAAGTCTATACAGGTAGAATAGAGTTGATTTTTTTCTGCTACATTACAGCTGTTCTGCAATTTTAGAATTCTGTTTGCATTTATTCATTAGAATTATGATATGCTATTACATTAATTCGGATTCAAAATGCGCCAATTCCGAAATGCGTCGCACGAGAAGCAAAGACAAAATCGATTTCTCGAAACGATGCTCTTCGCGAATGCTTCTTGAACGACGCTTCAAGACGACCAACTTATCCTAGTTTACATTTTACTCCCGTCTTCTATCGACATCTTTTATTCATCTGAGCACCCGTGTCGCAAAATCGCGTGACAAACTTCTTTAATAAAGTTTCAAATGAGAGCGTTACGCGGAACATCGCCTCTTGCTCCCTCTTTTTTCTCTCTTTCTCTCGTAAAATTACGTATTATGCTATTGTCGAAACGGAATATTCTGCACACTAAAATTTAGAGATATTTTTCTATTTACGATAAATATGTAAACATATGTATTTAATATGAATTTGGAAAATGGGACATCGTCTTCTATTGTTCAAAGAAATATCAATTTTTATTTTTATTATGGTCAAGTTTAATTTTCTGGTTAACTTGTGGTTTAGATTTGACCTCATTTAATCTGATGACAATGTAAAAATTGTGTTTTTGTAGCTATAATTAATCACTAAACTGACGGTTTCGTAGTGGTAATTTACGTATTATGAACCCATCAATTTAGTGCTTAACCATTAACTGGAAAAATATAATTTTTACATTATCATCATCAGATTAAGTTAATCACAAGTTTACATTCAAAAAATAAAAAAGTAGGTCTATCAATCATAGATTGACATTCTATCAATCATAGATTGTCAAAATTAATTGTGGACTAAATAATTTATCAATAAATATTTTAAAATCTGCTAAAGAACATAAAATGTCCGTTGACGAACGAGGATCTCGAGCGTCAATGCTTTCGTTGAATTATTCTGGAAGAATACGAATGGTTAGAGATTATGGTTGGTTAGAGAAATAGCGGTGTTTATGTTCCGACGTTACTAATCCCTTTGCGTTTATTTAAAATAGGACTAAGGTCGTAATGAGTACGCGGATGAATCAAGAGTTTCGGAAACTCTTCGTTGAAGGGCCTGACCGAGACTTGGAGGTTCGCCATCTGACGAGATCGGCTTTCATTTGGCTATGGTTAACCAACATTAAAGCGTTTCGCATAAACTCATGCTATCGATCGGTTTATAGGTGCCGCTTTCACAACCCGCTTATAAACTACGTCACTGACAAGGAAACAAAACATTTGGAAAATTGGGAAAATATACATATACAAAATGACTGTGTGACAAAAGGTTTCGAAGATTCAGTATCCTTTAGATATACTGAAAAATTTAATAAGATAGATGTAGTAATTACGTTAATTGCAGAAAGATAAATATAATTAATAACATAAATTAATTTAAAAATTAAAACAGATATACATGCATATGTAATTAAAATAATTTAGGTTAATGAAATATATGAGTAAAAAGAATATAAAAATATTAAGTTCATCATATCATATCATTGCGCATTTCAACACTTGAGAATTTTTTAAAATAAATGGAAACATAAAGCATGTATTGGATGAACGAGCTTAGGGGTGAAAAATAAAAGGAACAAGAAAATCACGGAAAGAGAAGGCAGGCGACAAAGAAGCGAGATATAACGAAGTGCCGTAGACTTAAAAATAAACGTCGGAAGGTTTTAAAGTCGAAATCCGGATTCTGCAGCGAGAAATCCGGAGGGAAGAACTTTGCAGTGTGAAGGAAAGAGAAAACGCAAAGATAGGGACGAAGACAGAGGGACTGTCTCGGTACCGTTAACCACTCGGAAGGGGTTAACCGTCGTTCTCGGGTATCATCCGTTGCACAAAAGCCGTAAAGCACGCTGCCCGGTTATTTCGGTCAATCCTCGAGAAGGCCGCCTAGAAAATATTCACATCGATCTACCAGCTGACCCCTCTCTCTCTCTCTCTCTCTCTCTCCCCCCTATTTCTCCCCCATAATACGTACACGCGCGCATACACATTGCACACATTCGTGTGCACATACACGCACGCGTAACGGGAACAAGTTCGTCGCTGCACCACAGTAACAGATACCTGATACTCTCTATATACGAAGCGCCTCAAAGTGCTCTTTCGAAGGCAAGCACAGAGGCCAGGTCAACCGCATCACTCTTCGGCATCATAAAAAGATATAAAACAGACCGATCGCTCGTCCGTTTGTCCGTTCGTTCGTCGGAACATAAACTATAAATACCTAGGGGTATATTGATGTAATCGATATTTTTCGGCATTATAAATAAATTCCCGAGAATGCGCGCGCGCACGCGTAAGTTCGGCCCGATTTATCCTGACGAGCTATTATCGGAGGGCGATATATAAAAGGGTAGCAGACAGCCGATAGAGGAGACTTTCAGGGATAATTCCTGCCTATCGGGATCACCGCGTGTAATTTTGCATAATTCTCCCGACGGATGCGAATCTCTGATTCAACTTCTCACAATAGCCTCGTTGTGTGTGTGTGTGTGTGTGTGTGTGTGTGTGTGTGTGATGATTTCCTAGCTAAAGGATAGTCATTCGTTCTAAGCCATGACGGCGCAATCTTGTCGCTTCGATTCCCAAATTTGAATTTCGAATGTGAACTTCGACAGAAAATGGGCGACAACTTTATTGCGATCTTTTCCGATAGCGTATAACAGACTACGTATCAGATATGCAAAAACTTATACGTATATTGCGATTATATTACTTTAACGTCTAAAATATTAAAAGATATACCTACATGTGATGTATATTTTCGGTTCACAAAAAAAAACCTACATACCTATTTTTAAATTTCGATGTAAATTCAAAATCGCATTTAATTTTTAAATCGCAATGGCAAAGTTGTTTACTTCAAACAAAATATACGAACTATCAGAAAATAGACTTTGTTATCCAAACGCGGCGTTTATAGTAAGTGGGATAAATTCTCTTCCGCGGAATATTCGAGATAAAATGATACAGAGAATTAGCTTTTTTGTTTTTATAGTGCGCTGACGATAATGAATGTTGCCCTTTCGTTTTGCAAACACGTACCTAGATTCCCTGTGGTGATATGAATAATAAGATTCAGTACTACGACGTTTTGCGTTAAAAGACAGAGCCCACCTCTTATCCTGTCAGCGTCATTGTACTTTTTATACGCTAACGCGTGAATGAAGAATCAGAAAAACAAGACGTGTCGTGACATTTACATGAAAGAAACGTAAAATTCTGAGTTGCGACGGAATCTCATCTTTAAATTTATCTCATCTTTAAATCTTTAGATTTAATCCGGCGTGCGAGAGGGCTAAGTTGCCGTCTGCGTTGGCATGGTAAACTGTCGCCCCGAAGCGCGACGTGACAAATATCTGTTATTTACATAAAGCGCACATAAAGTCATGAGACGCGCGATACGGATCTCGCGTATTCGGATTCTGAAGTTTAATGCGGAAGAAAGTCGAGAGACGCGCGCCTTTCTTCGCGATACACTCGCAAAGAAGGCGGCTCGGTTGAACCACTGAGAAATCATAACATATCGCTGAGAAGTGTTTCACGATAACTGTCTGACATTTGCATGAAATAAGGATTCTAAACGTAGACGTAATTCCGTACTCGGATTCGTGAATTTAATCCGGGCAAGAGTTACGCGCCCTCGTTTACCAAGGGAGAAACGTATAGCAACGTAAGGAGAAAAACACGAAATATTTCTTCCCCTTACTCCCGTATAATGTAATATTTAATTACACGACCATAACTTATTACAGCACCTAACTGTTCTCTTCCGCCAGCAAAATAGTCTTGATAATAAGTCACTTTTACATATGTAGCAATAGCTATATAACAATCTGTACTTAAAAGTTCCTGCAGTTTTCTCTCCCCCAAATACATTCGCGACAGTTTAGAATAAATCGGACACAAAATTATTCGTATAAAAAAAGTCACATTTTTACTTTTCAGAGCCAAAAACCGAGATTTTAGGTGCGCCGGAGCTGTTCATCAATCGAGGTAGCACCATCAATCTCACGTGCGTCGTCTTGCAGAGTCCAGAACCACCCGCCTACATTTTTTGGAATCACAACGATGCGGTAAGTTCGATCTATTTCCCGATTCATTATTATTCTTATTTTGATAGTAATCGTATTATTACGAGAACCGATTTGAGAAACATCCTGAGCTTAAGCTCGCAACATTTACGCGAAACGAATAATACGCAGACGACGCTGCAATATTGCACGATTAGCAAGACCTAGATATATTACTGACGCGCGCGATTCTGGCCAACGTTGACTTTGCACACGGATAATTAATGATGATCCTACTTCCCGAGATATATTCTAATATTACGGAAGGTAACACGTCGAATAAGTTTCTACTTCGCAGCCGCGAGACCAAGTTTCCGCGAGATGAAATTTTCAGCTGAAACTTCCGTCTTTCTTCGTCATGTTTATTGCGTACACAGTTGTTTGAGATTATTATTGTCACTGCTGCTGTTGTTGTTATACATCCTAAGAATTTTTTGTCATTAACTTTTTACAAATGACAGTTCGAAGTAAATACATAATGTCCTAATGATTTATATCTCATTGTTAAATAACAGAGATTTCATTTTCTCTCCTTTAATTGATATAATCTATCATATCACAAATTATTTAATTATGAGAAAATTCCTTTATTAAATGGTTATTTTATTAATAATGTGTAAAAATGTAATATAATGTCTGTAAAAAAAGTATAGGAGACATTTAGGATTAATTATAAAAATTATAAAACTTTAATTTAAAAAATACATGAAATTTATGTTTTAAAAATCTTTTATTTTTAATAAAAAATATATAGGAAATGATAAAATCTTCTTTTAGAACGAAACTTATCTGTGAAAAATTGATTATTTGGTTCTTTTCAATCGGTATAGTTTCGAGAAGCCATGATAATACGACTAGCAGAAATTTCAAATGGCTGTATCTGAGAAATCTACCTCTCGCGAATTTTGCTGCGGAGTAATAGCAGCGAAGAGATGCGTGATAAATGGCCGTACAGGCGTCGGCGAAGGTCGTCCCTAATTAGGTACTTCGCCTGGAACTCCAGGAAGTCGAACAGTTCCGATTAGAGCACTGATAGAGGACGGTAGGCGCACTTAACCACCTGCTGTCATACAAGAATGTTGAGCAGCTTGAAATGTTTCCGTAGCTAAGAATTAATCGAGTGGTATTTGCATCTTTCCGACTGAAATATTTTCGTCACAGTCTCGACCATCAAAGAAAGAGATAATGGACAATATATATCCATTCGTGCAATAAGAGTATTCTCAGAGTGTTTGTGTGTGTGTGCGCGGGTATTTATTATAATTAATATATTATACATATCACACACACGAGTTTATGATTAAGCCGACCAAAAATAATGTCTAAAAACTCGAATTTAAGCTCTTAAAATATGTTGTAACATGCTAAAAAATTTCTTTTTCTATAAAAAATTTTTTTTGATATTTCCGTTTAAAATAATGAAGTACTAATGAAACCCAAATAATTCAACAAATTATCATATACGAATTAATTATCAAATTGAAAAATATATTTTATTAATTTCCTATTTTAATATTTATTTGTAATGAAATCCCTTATCGACAGTCTTTATTGATATTCTAGAACTTTAGGATTTTCACGACATATCTTTCTAGTTTTTAACATGATAACAAAGTTTTTCTGGCGAATGAATTAAGTATGTGCGCGCGCACAAAGGGGATTATAAAACATACCGACGGTGGTGGCGGCGACTGTTTGCGAACGGCTGACCGACCAATAAATTTTGATAATGTCCTGGTTGGCTGGCTCGCCGCTAAATCGTGAGAGTCGTGGCAAAATTGGTAACGGCACTCAGGAGGTTCCATTAGGCGCATTAAGCCCTGACCGAGAGCTTTGGGACTCGCTTGGGTACGTAGAAACAACGTTCGTTCGCAAGCCTTAAAGAGAACTCCGTCGTGCGTGACTAACGCGTGCAGCCTCGAAGGGTTCTGGACCGTAAATGAGCCGAGAGGGACTCCCTAATTCCTCAGATATCATTCTGTCAGTCCCTTCGTCCTTTATCGTGAGGTACTATGGAAGATATTGATAATACCCCGTGCGATTAGTGAGAGCCAGATTTATCAGTACCGTGTAAAACAGAGTAATGTTACGACTTTGTGCATAAATAATTAATACGATACTCTCAGAAGATTTCATATCAATGTATTCTCGCAGCGCTTTACATATGTAGACTCCTGTTATCTTAGAGGAGAAGGTGGTATTATGGCACCTCAGTTACATTTTACACAATAACTTTGTTAATAATCAATATTTAAGTTTAAAATTTGACAATTACATTTGTTTAAATGTTGTTAAATCGATTCTGGACTCAAAGTTACGAAATATTTATTACTTAGGATACTATTAATAAAAATGTGGTGACATTCCATAATGACTCGAAAAAAAAAATGGGTAGTAATGTGGCCTTTCATAAAAATAGCCTTAAAACGTTAGTTTTATTTAGAAAACAGTATTTGGTTACAAGATTAACAAAAAAGGAAAACATTTTAAAATGTATACAAGTGAATGTATATACATTCACATAACTTCTGCATATAAACTGCTTAGTACTAAAAATCTCAGTATTAAAAATAGTACACGTAATATAAACTACAAATTAACAGTAGAACTACAATCGATTATCAAATAATTATTTTTATATGAAAACCTCAAAAAAAGAGGTCGTAAGTAATCAATACCCATAGAGGGCCACATTATCAAAATGCCATACTATTGTTTAAATGTGCATAATTCGAAATATATACAGTCAAATAAAATATTAAATGGCAAATACTCACTCAAAAATACATATATTCATAATACGCTCAAGTTTAAGAAAAATAAGAAAGTAGGTATAATTAAATGCTAAAATGTACCTCAGAAACGTTTCGAAATACTTGAAAGTAGAAATACGTTATAATAAGTGCTGGCTATTGAGTATTGGTATATTAGCGTGTGATGGTATAACGGCGAGCTACTGAATAAGTAATTCAATTCCTAAAAAAGCCTTTTTAAAAAAAGAAAAAAATTACGCCAAGTGCATAAAAAAAGGTGTTGAATAGATTCTTCTTAATTAAAAACGGATATGGAATAAATGTAATTAGCCAAGTATTTCACGCAAGATAAATAAGATAGACTAAAAGTAATTAAAACTGTCAACTGGATTATAGTGAAGAAAAAACTTGGCGTACCCGGATCGCATTAAAACGTAATATTCTAAGACCAATATGTTTTCACAGTACGGAAATTTATTTGCGAATTATTAAAAAGATTATTACAATATTTTGCAGATATACACAATACATGGAAACAATAATTCAACAAAGAAGAGATGTTAATAATTGCTTATTAATCTTGTAAATTTATCTATAATGTTGTTATATCTAAATATTATCAATATTCAATAAATAATCATTAGGATTCGCTATATAATAGCGGAGATATTATGGGAGGCCACAATACATACACTGGCCATAATACCACCTTCTCTTCTATTATAAGAATATCGAATGTAATAAAACAAGTTCAGAAGATCAAGCTATATTATGTCGCATTTCCCAATTGAAATAATATCATTGAAATAGTCTTACGAGAATCCTTTTACGAGTACACTATCGTTTTATCTTAACTACTTTTCACTTTGCACTTGCATGGAGGATTACTCGTGTGGATTTCCGTAAAAGCTTCCTTAGTCCAACAGACCAAGATGCGCCTCTGGATCATCCTCTTTAAATATTTCGTCAGCGCTTTCGATACTTTTGGTAAAGAGACCTCATAGGAGATTACATAGTAGTTCCCATAGGATCGATTAAAGGACAGGCAAAATAATAGCAAACCCATATCTAATCGCGATTTTGCACGCTCATAATGATTCATGCGCTCGGGGAGGATGTTATGATAGCCTTCGGATATGATGAACGTACGGTTGCTGCGACCGATAAGGAACGGGAGGAACAGCCCTTAGGAATCGTCCCGGGGGAACTGACTGAAATTCTCGTCCGATAATAAAGTCGCCCCCGATCGATTCACCGCGACGCGAAACATTTTCCGGCCGCAAGGAATCTACCAGAGCCACCCGGGCGCGTTTGCTTTCACGCTCCGATACACCTTATCCCTTTGATTTTGATTGAATTTCATGTCCGCGTCTATTGCGGCGACCGCACCTTGTAGCGACGCGCTGTCGCTTGTAGATGCGCGATGAAAACGCGATAAGATATTAAAATATCTCTACATCTTAAAGATGCTCCAAGTGTTTTAAAACGCGCGAATAATATTCGGACATTATGTTAAAATTCAGTGAAGAAAAGATTTTGTTTCGAAAATTCGATAAAAGTAAAGAGAAATTGATTGTTTTCGTTAAAAAGTTAATATATTTATCACATATAATTTCTTAAATAGGATTAATAATATTTTGTTATTGTACAGTAATAAATCTATATGTGCATAGTCGATATATTGCGCGTTATTTGTATTTATCTAATTGTGTTTCTATTGACTCTGTACATTTTCATTCAAATCAGTCGAGAATAAATTGATTTATTTTAAAATATTCTATTATATTATGAAATATAGTTAAATAAAATAACATATTAAATCTTATTTATACCTATGTTGCTCATGGAAATTTGCCAAAAGAAAAGAGAGTGAGAAATGAATTTGGTCGCTGCCAAATCGATTTCCGCGATATATTACGAGGACAGGAATAAAAGCATGTTTTACAGATCTGTGGTTACAGTTCGTCGGATGAACGAAAGCACGAGTATATTCATGTCCGTGAACAAATCGCAATAATTAAAAATCAATATTGCGTAAATCGAGGAGGTAACCACATAATGTAATCGTGGGACAGAATCTTCAAAATCATAAAATTCATACGAAATCTCTATGTATAACCTAATAATTGTATATACATATATATATGCAACCACGAGAAATCATTGTATAATATTAAATAAAATCGTATATTTTTTACCAAATGACTTTATAAAGTGAAAAAAATTATTTATAATCAGATGAAATCATGT